ACCAGTTAATAAAAAGCGGATGTGATTGCGGACGAAATATCAAAGCAAAAGACCATTCTGCTCAACTATATCTTATGTGAAAGCAAAACAATACAAAGAATAATTTCCCGGAAAATAGGACAGCTGACAGCATATAAGAGTGTGCTAATAGTTTACGTCTATTTGTAATAACGGCGTGAGTACATCCGTCGTACGTAGGTCGTGGTGATATTTGATGTTGTAGGATTCAATGTAGCAGGACCACTGCGAAAAATAACTGCCAGCAGCAAACTAAGACAGCTGTATGTGCATTCTACAGACACAACTCTGATTCTGATGTGATTCTGCTTACGACACGACTACCCTACATAGGACGGATGTGACCACATTCTAATGTTAGATGGGATGAGAGATGAAAACTGGAAATGTAAGAAATAACGAACCGACCTGCAGCCTCCGCAGCATCTGCGTCCTCCTGGGCCTCCTCTGCTGCTTCCTGAACCTCGTGCATTGCCTCTTCGAGTTCTGAGATGGTTTCTTCGATTTCTTCTTCATCTCCGCTGGTAAGAGCCTCTTGGACCGCGTCCTGTGCTGCCTCTGCTGTCTCCAGGGCGGCATCTGTAGTACAGACAGTCATTCTGATGCGATTTCTTGCAAAAAATAATAGTCTCCACCAGACTTCTTTGCAGACTAAAAAAAATAGTAGAAATCGGTCTACTTTAAATTGAAGTTTTGTAGTACCTGCTTTAACAGAATTAAAAACAGGTTCTTACCGACAGCCGGTGAGTCCAGTTCAGAGTCCTGTAGAGCAGTTTCGAAGTCATCAACCACCTGCTCAAGCTGGTCAAATGTCTCTTCTCCGGCCTCGGTGTCTCCCTCTGCGATCAACTCCTGCAATTCATCGAGTGTGTCCGAAATCTCTCCTTGGGCGGCCTCTGGAAGAAATAAACACAAATTATTGAGTATTTTCGCTTTTCTTAATATACTACTTGTCATATGTTGGTTATGTTATCTCTATTCATAGTTAAAGTAGTTTCAATTACAATGTTTGACTGCTCTCTAAGCAGATGCTGGTGGGGAAGATTGCCCATATGCCATGTTTCGAATTCTGTCGCTACTCCTGTTTTTCTGTTTGTTAGTAGGGATAGTGACAGAAAAAATGGGGCATATTATAAAGGTCACAATTTTTGCTTGGAGGGTTGATATGTCCTAGCTTTGTCAGACTTGTTTTGAGGCTTTTTTTTCTTCGAAAGAGGCAACATGTACATTTTACCATGTGTGATGCCCATATATGAACTATTTGTGACATAACGATGGGAGGTAAGAAGAATACATTATATTGCCACACCTGTCTCCTCCTCTTGCTCTTTCGCCTCCTCTGCTTCATCGATGTTCTGTTGGAGGTCTTCAAACTCCTCCTGTAAATGCTCCTGTGCTTCTACAACAGCCTCAACGTCGTTGGACTCTAACGCTTCCTGTACCTCAGCCTCGGCCTCTTCAACGGCGTCTCTTGCTTCGTCTGATGTAAGTTTACACAGAGTGAGTTAGAGATTGTATGTAAAAACAAACATCACCAGGACGGTCATCGAAGCGTCGGCTCATGTGAAACAAATGGTTGTGAATGAAATAATTATGAGATAAAGACTAAGCTTTAATCTAAAGTTTTGGAAGTCAGAGCTTAGTCTTTATTTGATAATGACTTGTACCAACACAGATGAACTTTCATGCTGTGAATAAAAGTGAATAAAAGAACTTTACTATTAAATGTGCTAAAATAACTTTTTCTTTCAATGTTAGGATCACAAAACCAAATGATAAACACAGCCTCATTAATTATAATAAACCAAATGTCGACACAACTTCTCATACAACACTATCAACACTATCTTAGCATGACGGGAAATGAAAGGGCGAACCTCCTTCCCATCAAACACAACCCCTTAGCATGATTTGAAACAAACATGGCGGTGACAACATGGTGGCACACTAGGACGGTAGCTAAAAATACAAGTGTTGCTAATCTCAAATCTGTATGTAGATGCGTTGTAGGCTATGTGACCTTCCCACAAGTAACGTTAGGCTGTGGCACAAATTTCCCTATTGACCATTATATGTGAACAATTATGCTTATTATGCTAGCCACTTATTTTAAGATATCTATATGAATACCTAGAGCAGGGGACTCAAGACCAATGTCTTCTGCGTTGTCCAGCAGACTCTCTACATCCTCTTCAAAGGCCCCCACTGCCTGCGCTACTGCAGCTGGGTTCCCGGCGCTGATGCCTGCACTCATGGCCTCAAGGGTCTCGGAGGCCTCTGCTTCAGCTGTCTCTGTTTACGTAATAGAAAGAATAGAAGTGGGTTGGCAGGAGCACATGGACAGTCTGTTACCTTTCGTGGATAGCTTGACACATCCCTTTTCTGTCTCGTTTTCTCTGTCTCCTTACCGTTGTAAAGTTACTAAAAAGACCATAGTGAAAACCAGTGTTTCTCCTGTTTAGTTTACCTTCTTGTTCTATATAGTCATGTAAGTTGATTTAGTTTTTAATCTTATCTAGAATCACACCAGTTAATTACAAAGGAAGGTGATTCTAGACGAAATATCCAAAAGGACAAGACCATTATGCTCAACTATATCTTATGTAAAAGTCAAACAATGCAAAGAATAATTGGCCGGACAATAAGACAGCTGGCAGCATATGTGCTAATAGTTTACGTCCATTTTGTGTGGTGTGGGTACATCGGTCGTAGGTCGTGGTGATATTTGATGTTACAGGTTTGTATGTGCCTGGACCATGTGAAAAATAACTGCCAGCAACAAACTAAGATAGCTGTGCATTCTACAGACACAACTCTGATGTGATTCTGCTTACGACACGACTACCGTACATACGACGGATGTGGCCACATTCTAATTCCAAATTATTTCCGACTGGATCTTCATGATCTCATACCTTCGCCGAAGGATGTTGAACGTTGACGAATAATAAATGTTTTTCGTTATTCATTAAAAACATATCGTCATTAGCATTGTTGATATTGACCTACGGAATCTTGCGGAAGAGTAGCCGACCTAACCGAACCATAACAGGCAAGCACATCCGACCTTGCTCCCGATCTACTCCCGATATTGGCGGGGGAGTTAGGCAGTGTTCGGGAGGCCATTCTAGCAGAATACAGGGTCTTAAAGTATCACGATAAAACAAAGATATCACAGACAATGTCTAACCTGCGGCCGCCTCGCCTATAGCTTCCTCCTGGGCTGTTTCTATCTCAGTATTCAACTCTTCCATTTCTTCCTCGAAGTGTTCGGCAGCTTCTTCGACGTTTTCGCCGGTTTCAACAGCAGTTTCCAGCTCACTGTAAGCCTCCTGGGCAGCTGCCTGGGCATCCTCTGTTATATGAAATAATAAATTTGTGTAAATACAGTGATAAAGTTACAAGAGTGCAGTTTGTTAACCAAGTGTTAATCACCAAATTAGATTTACATTATTTTAAAATCAGTGTACTTCATTACTATTCAAAAGTTTGCATCTGCTTGGCGCACAAGCATCTACTTGGTGCAAAAGAGTTGCACAAGCAAATGTTGTCAATCAATGACTCCACAAAATACAACAGAGTGAACGAATGAAGAATTATAGTGCATATTCTTGCCTAGATAGGCTAAATGCACATGTGGACATATGTGGTCTACATGATATAAAACATAGTACTGAACACTGCAACGCCACATTCCAGTACTAAAAGTCTATGTATTACAATAATACTATACAGTAGTTGATATATTTAGACGTCCTTTCTCCTCTCCTTTTGGAACAAATGGAAACACACACACACACATAATAACACTCACACACACACACACACACACACACACACACACACACACACACACTATATATATATATATATATATATATATATATATATATATATATATATATATATATATATATATATGGAAACTGCATATATTTATTCCTGCACGAAATCAAGTATTCAAAAGTATCCTACTTTGGCATTATCTTGTTCAATAAAACAGAACAATCAATTTCGTGAAGTCACGTACCAAGTTCGGCCCCTTCGATTCCAGTATCCTCTGCAAATGCTTCCATTGCCGCGAGTTCTTCTCCCAGTTCTTCGGTCTGTTCCTCCGCGGCCTCGGTGTCTCCTGCTGCTGCCGCCGCCGCCACTTCTCCAATACTCTCAACAGCCGCTTCTCCAGCTGCAGCTATGTCCCCACCTTAACGAAAGAAAGACATTGTTCAGTACTCGGAAAGTAACACTATCTCATTGCAAAGCTGCTGAACAAAAAAACTTTGTAAATGATAGTGCTGTCAATTTTGCCCGAATCGAATCCTGTCAGCCATCTTGTGCCCTTGAAAAACCTAACACGACTTTCCTCACTTAACTCAGGTAAAAATGAGTATGTCTATTGTCCATTCGTGCGTTGATGACGGTATGAAAATAAGTTAAACTAAAAAGGTAACATTTACCTTTATCTGGTCTGGCCCAACAAACTACAGCACTGTTTGTTCTTCTTTTAAGTCAAATACATTTATATGTATTGTGAGCCGTGACTCCAACTCCGCTCTGCCACATAATGTAAGCCAACACCACAAAGTGTCTACTACAGTACCAGTTACCATGGTGACAGACGTATAGTCCAGGTCATCTTGTGGCCAAGGAAGATAAGGAAGAAGAAGAAGAGGAGGAAGGAGAAAATAAGTAGGAAAAATACAGAGCAAAAACAATTTCTTCTGCGAAGAGATAAAAAGATTGAGTGTGCCGTCTTGTACCATGTCTTGTAATAAATGTTGGAATGAAAAAACAGCTACTCACCACTGACGGCATCGATGTCCACCCTAGCGGCGATGCCGGCGTCGCCCCAGGTTAAGGGGGCGATCCGGATAAAGCGGGCCATGATGACGGATTGCAGTGTTAACACCTGAGTCCCACTGTCATCACTGTTACCCTCACATACCTGTAGAACACGCAAGGGTGTGTGAGGAGTATCATCAACGACTGAAGACCTTTATTGCACATTCTTGCCACACTTGGCTAAGTACAGGTCACAGCAAAACAAGATGAACAGATGCAAAAGTAACTAACGTTATAAAAGGTCAACTTCCCCTCGATTTCAGTTATTGTGTAAATAAAAGAACATGATAATGGTAATGGAAACTGAATATAAGGGGATGAGACAGAGTAAAAAAATTACAGTAATGGTACGTAATGAAAATTAAGGTTAAAACCAAGTGATAAGAATTTAAGTAGCCAGGCAAAGACTGCATTGTAATGTTGTGATTCTTACTATGTCGTGTCCTTCGTCGTCCGAGTAGGTCAGCCAGGTGGTGCCCTCGATGCTGTACCGCAGGTAGTACGTCAAAATCCAGCGCCCGGCTGCACCCTGGAGGGTCAACGAGTGCAGTTGGTACACCCGCTGCAGGTCAATCTGCAGGTACTGGTCCACGTCGTCTGTAGCAGGAGCCCAGTAGGCGGCCGTACCGTCCTCGTATGTCTTGCCGATCACTGCGTACCCGGCGCCGTGCTGCTCGTCCAGTTCGGAAGACGCTGAGAACCATCCGAACTGGAAGTACTGACTCAGCGACACCGATGCTGTAGATGGACAGATTAACATAAGCATTCTGTTCATTTCATCACTGATAGAATCCTAGAATGATCTACTGTAATGTTTTCGATGTAGCTCAAAACTATCATCTACTGTACGGGTAGATTCTCGTAATTGATAGATCACCAATTTGTCTCTTTGTATTTATCTTGGTTTTACCCACCTTGTAATTATGCATGTACTTTGTCAGTGTGTTTTATACTAGGTATGTTTTTGAGTAGAAGGTGTTACATAAGCAACTTGTGCTTTTTGCCTAATACTCAATACATATATGTGAATAAATAAATAAAGTGATCTACGCTATCCATCAATTACAACGTTGACTGAAATCGTCAGATGTCACATGGCAAGATCTAGGTAAAAAAATTGAAAGCTGAAACATCTGTCTACCAACTTTGGTTCAACAGGAATTAAAATCATCGGCGTTTCCCTGATACAAGTAATATGTTCTGGATGACATGTACAGTTTGGAAATAAAAAAAAAATGTTTCCATCAATTTTCGTCTTGCTTTTATGACAACGGTCGAGGAAGATAGGGAGGAATTATGCCTTCTACTAGGCTCCTACAATTACGACCACCTACATGCTGAAATTCATGGCATAAATACTAAGTAAGGGCGGGGTATTATCATAAATTCATAGATCATTTTCATGCAGGCTGTAACAAAACCAGCCATCGATAACTATCTAAGACAGCCTTTTGTGGTAACAGCACATCAGACGTTCTGTATACAACATATGCACGACTACCCCAAGAATGACCTCAAATTTGAGATCGTACGACGGTCGTACGACGGATGTGGCCGGGCCTTAGGTTGGGTCTTACATACCTCCCTCCGCGACGCCTCCGATGAGACCCCCTACAGCACCGGCTGCACCACCGGACATGCTGACACTAACTCCAGTTGCACCTCCTTCAAAACTACCGCCACCTGAAACAACAACGTTGATTTGTAATCAATTACAAAGGACACAATAACTTTGCAATGTGGAGTCGTGTGGTGTAACGGTACATTGATTGTTGACTCGAAAGAGTCCCCGGTTCGAACCTGTCTTGCCATTGATTTTGCTGCCAACGATCCTGTTCCATGAAGAAATGCACTTAACACGACTTTCCTCACTTTGCTCAGGTGAAAATGAGTACTGTATTTTGCTGGAGGCAGCATAAAATAAGTTGAAAGAACTTGAGTATGCATGCCGTCACCACGTCTTGTGATTACATGTTTGAATAAAAAAACGTTGCAGTGCACAGTTTAGAATACCACCTAGCAAGGATGTTTGTTATGTGATGAATGTTCTAGATATTTGTCAAATTCCACAGAAAATTTGTTTGTTTTTTTTGCATTCCAACATGTAGTCACAATACGTGGTGACGGCACACTCAAGATTTTTCAACTTATATTAATGCCGCCACCAACGCAGGGGACAATACAATAGTAATTTTCACCTGAGCGAAGTGAGGAAAGTCGTGTAAATTGCCTTTCCCGAGGGCACAAGATCGGTGGCATGTGTCAAGCAGAAAATATGTTTCAAGTAGCTTCAGTGCTAATATCACATTTTTAAATGTTCTGTCTTTTTTCAACCTTAGAAGTGACAAGAATAAGGTCGTGTAAGCAACGGGTTCTCTTCCTGGTGCAAATTGCAATTAACTTGTCAAAACTGGACAAAAAAAAACATTACTGTTCTGAGTTGCAATTGCAAATGTGCAGTTATCGGTAGCCTGGTTACCAAACCTATTGTAGCTCCCGAGTCCTACATCCTCTCCTATTTGCGGAGAGGATGTAGGACTCGGGAGCTATAATTAATAGGTTTGGTAACCAGGCTAGTTATCGGCACATTGACAATATCAAATCCGAGAGTGTTCTCATCAATATTAGGACACCCTTTGGATTTGCAGAGAGGCTCGTGGATATCACTTCACAGTACACTGAGGAGTCCTGTGAAGTGCCGTTTCCATGGGCACAACACCGGGGATGTCAAGGAGATTATAGAGAGGTGTTCCTATAAGCTTCTGGGGGATGTCAGGGGATCGAACTGCCCGGGACTTGTCCAGAGATGACCGCTTTGCCCAGCCACGCGATGCCACGGACAAGACAGGCTACAGACACAATACATGTACTATATCAAATCCAACTTAAAAAAGATTTAAGCATCATACATGCGTACAAGATAGGTATTGGGAGCAACCTACCACCGACAGCATTGATGTCTATCCGGAGGGCGATGCCCGCTCCACCCCAAGTCAAGGGAACAATGCGGAAGTAGCGACCAGACAGAGTCGTCAGCAGCGTCGTAACCTGGGTCCCAGTGTCGTCACTGTTTCCTTCGCAAACCTGTGGAACACGAAGTAGTCTGAATTGACTTTTTGTCAATCGTATGATGATCCTAATTATAGAAACCCTGAAACCCTACGTACTTAACATATCAATGACCTTATGGACCATGTCATGTTTAACCGTTTTTCCAGTTGCTCATATATGCTTTTTAGAGTTCTGTTAGTTCATTAGTGACGCTGAAGAAGAGTGGTGGATGTCACTAGAAACGTCCGGATATTATCTCTGTAATTTATCCAGTATAGTAGAGTTTGACTTTCCTATGAGGCGTACTGATACATATCAGAAACATTTTGTAGTGTACCGCATGTGTTTAAGACACCTTTTCGTAGAGATTGTAGTGTTATTGCGCTTACTATGTCTTGACCGCCGTCGTCCTGGTAGGTTGTCCAGGTGGAACCATCAGTGCTGTACTGCAGGTGGTACGTCTGGACCCAGCGCCCGGCTGCACCCTGGATCGTCACCGAAAAGATCTGAAAGACTCCTCCCAGATCGATCTGCAGGTACTGGTTCACGTCGTCTGTAGCAGGAGCCCAGTAGGCAGCCGTACCGTCCTCGTATGTCTTGCCGATCACTGCGTACCCGGCGCCGTGCTGCTCGTCCAGTTCGGAAGACGCTGAGAACCATCCGAACTGGAAGAACCGACTCAGCGATATTGACGCTGTAGAGTAAGAAGTTGACAAGTAAACATATTTAAAAATCATATGCTAAATGATATACGTACATCTTAAGTTGCAACAAATCTAGAATAAGGGACGCCTTTACGTTAATATTGGGATAAAATTGAATAAGGGTTACCCAACTCTCAATCTGATTCTTCTTTGTATATTTTACAAATAGTTTGTCAACACTTCTGGCAGGTATGTCTTACCTCCCTCGGCAAGGCCTTCAAAGATGCTTCCTCCTGAAGAAGACCAGCTCCAACTGGCACCACCACCGTGTCCTCCTCCTACGCCTCCTCCTCCGGACATGCTGAAACCTGCTCCGCCGCCGTGTCCTCCTCCCCCGCCTCCTCCGGACATACTGAAACCTGCTCCGCCGCCGTGTCCTCCTCCGCCTCCTCCTCCGGACATACTGAAACCTGATCCGCCGCCGTGTCCTCCTCCGCCTCCTCCTCCGGACATACTGAAACCTGATCCGCCGCCGTGTCCTCCTCCGTGTCCACCGCCTCCTCCGGACATACTCCAACCTGCTCCGCCGCCGTGTGCTCCGCCTTGTCCTCCGCCTCCTCCTCCGGACATACTCCAACCTGCTCCGCCGCCGTGTGCTCCTCCTCCTGCGGATACGCCCCATCCATGACCTGGGAAAAAATGGAAAAAAAAATCTTTTAGGTACGGTGTCAAAGAACTAGAAGAAGCAGTTAAAGAACACTTAACAATACCAAGGCAGCTTACTGTAGAGAACGTACATGCTTGTGCAATTAACGGCTACTTCCTACAATCATATTTATACATAGTAGCTTTTATATTCATTCGCAAGACATTAATCCCATGAACTAGTTGAGGCTAGGAACTGCAGCTTCTATTTTACCATTCGGAAGCTATAGATGGGCACTCAAAAGACGTCTAGAGAAAAATGTAGCTGGCAGTTACACGAAGATACCACATGCTACAAGAAATGCCTCGTGGACCAAACATCCCTAAGAGAACACTAGGGGCGATGTTCTCCTACGGGCAAGTACGCCCAGACAAGAATAGGACCACCCTATGCAACCCATATAAAGACTATAAGGGTATTGATTCTTGACGTGAACTTGAAGTCCTACAGACAGTTAGGGAGAGATGGTGAGAATCTTAAACAGCCAAGCAGCTAGTTCACTATGCAGGATAAGCTTTACATGCATCTGGCAAAAGGCTGTTCACATCGCCGCTTTGACACTAAGCC